ATCTGTGAGTGTTGTCGTACTGACTGTGGATCTCTTCCTCTTCCAGTCGGTGTTGTGACAAGAAGAGCTGCGGGAACCGCAACGAGACGCCCTCCGACCCCGTCATCATCGACAGGTAGGAGCTCACCTGTTCACCTGTCTGTCCTCTCTGTGGAGTGAAGTTGTGTTCAGGTTCACCGGCTCAGTCCAGGACTCTCATTTTACATCAGGAGGGTGTTTTTGTGTTCGTGTTCAACAGGAAATGATTTAACTTCCTGTTTGTGACGTTACGGTTGTGTGTGCTGCGTTCACTGACCTCTGTTCTGCTGTGTTAAGAATCATGTTGTTTCTGTGACGTGTGATGAATCTGCAGCAGTATGGTGTGAGTGGGATGATGAATGTTTTTGTTGAACGCTCCCTGGTCTCTGCCAGTGAATGCAGCACGGTGCAACAGGTGAAATAATCAAGGGCCACTTACTACGTTATTATGGAAGTTCATCATCTCTTTGTGGAGGTCAGTTTTAGTTTCTTGTCCTTGAGCATGAAAGTTTATTCTTGACCTTGTTGATAGTAGTTTGACTCAAGGGCCACTTACTAGCTTTTTCCGGAGCTATCAACCACACACTTCATCTTCTTTTTTTTTCTAAAGTATATTTTTTGGGGCTTTTTATGCCTTTATTGACAGTGCAGTAGAGAGAGACAGGAAGTGGGGAGGCAGAGAGAGGGGGAATGACATGCAGTAAAGGGCCGTCCGATGTGGGACTCGAACCGGGGCCGACTGCAGCGAGGACTGTGGCCGCTACACATGGGGCGCCTGCTTAGACCACGACGCCACACAACACCCCTTCTTTTTTTTCTTTGAAGGAGTTCTTTCTTCATTTGAGGAAAAGATTCCTCCATCAATGAAGACCCTGAGACGAGGTTGAAAGTGCTTGAAAAATTTAGTAAGTGGACCTTGAGTTAAGATGATTTTTCTTTGAAACAAGTTTTTTCAGCGATGAAGTCTTTGCTCTGTTTTATTTATTTATTTATTTAACAAAACAATTTTAACCGGTTCCATTTAGTAGCTGCTCTCGAGTCTTTGATCGCGTCACATGGTCTTCATCTGCAGGTGGAGACGCCTGGTTGTCAAGGAAACGTAGATGTTGGTTCATTTCTGGCCTTGGTTAATTATGTTATCATCAGTGGTGCATTCAAGGACGCTCAGATATTTGAGAGCCTTTGTTGAAGACAAGCAGAACAAAACGCTGGAGGAGAAAAATTTACTTTGTTGAAGTTTTTTCCCGAATTTAAAAAAATGTTTGTGGTTCCCAACAACAGCTTCATGAACTTTGACCCTGAGTGAAGTAGGTTGATTTTCACTAAGAGGAACAGATATCGATCTTCAAACTGTTGAGTAAATAGATCATAATCATAAATCAATAGAACATTAGTGTATTTATGTGTTTCACATGAAACCTTTGATGTAGCTGTCGTCTTTGTACAAACACAGATCAGATGTTTTTGTTTCTTCCTCCGTCTCACTTCTTTCTCACGTCTCACTTCCGACATGAAGCTCGACTGTGTGAAGTGAGTAATTAACACCACATGGAAAATAACGTTTACACGCCGCAGCACCAGCACACACTCTGATCTGACGTCCTCTCGCTTCCTGTTCTGGACTCTTTCTCTGTCTCTGCACTTTTGTTGCCCTCAGATTTGCCTCCCAGGCAACTTACAACCTGCCCTGTCCTCAGACTGAAGGAGTCTGAGAGGAAGAGCCTGCAGACAGAACTCTGGGCATCAATAAATCATTTTAAAATCAACACTAACCGTCACCTCTGTCAACACATTAAGATTTTATTTATTTTGATTCAGTTGATCTGGATCTTTTTCATTTTTTAAACATCAGAATTTATCCTCTGAACTTAAATATCTTTATTTTATTTCACTTTTAAGGTGAAATTTATAATTTATGAGGAAAATAAATACCAAGTAACCACAGGTGATCTTCTTTGTCAGCCTATATTAGTTTTTTTTATCATATATTATTTCAAATTCAGTCAAACTGTCTCATTCCCAGCTGATCATCAGGTGTGATCAGCTGATGATCAGCTGATCACAGCTGATCACTGTGATACCGAAGGAAAGGTCAAAACAGGAGGAAGTTCTGCAACTTCTGTTTCTAAGTGATGATTCCTTCATCTATTCACACACACACACACACACACACACACACACACAACTTGCCCTCGAACATTAACCCGACAGCCAATCACAAACTTCAGCATTACAATCCCTCATTAACATTCGTCCTCGCCGTCTAATCCCTCTGCCCGCCACGTCCTTGGAGTCGGCGGCTGTCTGTCACAACGCCCGGCTGTGATTGGTTGGGTCACAGTGGTGGGAGCCAATGACCTCAGAGGAGGTCAGAGGGGAGGACGGAAGGGGGGGTAGGGAGGGGGTTCAGTAACCAAGTCCATGTTGGCTCGTTAGAGAGGCCTTGGACTGTGGCCAGACAGACACACACACACACACACAC